CACACATATATATATATATACACATATATATATATATATATATATATATATATATATATACACACACATTTATATATATATATATATATATATAAAACATACACACATATTTACACAAAACATGATGCACCAGTACAGTTATTACCCAGTTTTAATTTCCGTATGTGCGTAGAGTTTGCCGTACCTTGTGTGTGTTCGGGGAGGGCGAGCTGAATTGGTCGACCCAAGAACAGATGAAGGTCATAGAGGTAAGGCACTTCATCTGTACACACCAGACTGAAGGCGGTTCCTTTTTTGCCAGCGCGCGCCACACGACCTGAAAGACAGAGATGAGGGTTAAATCTCCACCTCAGACCGCTGGACAGCCTTCAGTCTGCTCCGTCACACACCGACTCTGTGCAGGAAGAGTTTGGCCTTCGATGGGAAGTTGTAGTTGATGACGTTGTCCAGGAGCGGGATGTCAATGCCACGGGCCGACACATCTGTGACCAGCAGCACCATGGCCTTGCGGTGGACGAAGCGGCCGATGTTGATCTTGCGGGCCGTCTGGTGCAGAGCGCTGTAGATGTAGGCGCACTCAAAGCCCTCGACCATCAAGAGCTGCAGACACAGAGAGAAACAGATCAAAATCAGGGGTGAATGATGAATGAATGAGGAGCTACTAAAGCATCCAGTCCAGTTTGCACTCAGCATATGTGAAGACACAGTAAAGCAAATTTTCCAGAGCTTTTTGCACCTCTTTGAGATGCTCCACATGATGTTTGGTGGCTACAAACACCACCGTCTGTTCTTGCGGCTTCACCACATTTCTCAGCAGATGCAGCAGAAGGGCTGGTTTATCATCCAACCGCAAGTGGAAAAATGAAAGCTGGTGAAGAAAAGGGGGGGAAAAAATCTCATGGATGCTATTAAGAATACTATTAAAATTATTTTATTAAAAAAAAAAAAAAAGTAATACTTTTATTCCTCAAGGATGCATTAAATTAATCAAAAGTGACAGTAAAGACATTTATAATGTTACAAAAGATTTCTATTTCAACAAAATGCTGTTCTTTTGAACTTTCTATTCATCAAAGAATCCTGAAAAATTCCGCCAAAATATTCGGCAGCACAACCGTTTTCAACATTGATAATAATCAGAAATGTTTCTTGAGCAGCAAATCAGCGTATTAGAATGATTTCTGAAGGATCTTGTGACACTGAAGACTGGAGTAATGATGCTGAAAATTCAGCTTTAATCACAGCAATAAATTACATTTTACAAAGAAAACAGCTATTTTAAATTGTATTAACATTTCACTGTTATTACTATATTTTTTATTAAATAAATGCAGCCTTGATGAGCATCAGAGTCTTCTTTAAAAAAAAATTTTAATAGGATGACCATACATCCTATTTTTCTAGACAGGATTTCTAAAATGCTTAATATGTCCGGGTTTTGGCTTTGTTTTCCGATTGACGGTCTCTCTACAGTCCTCATACATTGTACATGTATTTGCATTGCTTCAACCTTTCTCTGTAGATCCCACCTTCTCGCACACCACGATCGTTCAATTATGTACAATGACTGCATGCTATTAGCCAAAATGCTTTTCAGTCATTACCACCAGCAAGTATGAAAACAATAGGAAAACAAAGCCAAAACCCAGACATTTCAGGCAATTTAGACCAGGACATGTCCGGGAAAAAAAGAGGAAGTATTGCATTAAAAACACCGACCCCGAATAGTAGCATAAACAGACTCTTTTACTGGTTTAACATATGCTAACAGTGTTATTGTGAATGATTTATCAGTGCATGTTTTCAGAAAATTTCATCAAAACCCCACTTCTGAAACAACCATTTTCAGCTGACATTGTCAATCCCTATTTTTGTAGACCCTTTTCACCATCCAGTTAGTTCGACGTGAATAAAATCAACTCTACCTTCAGCTGGTCACTCAATTTCGTGTCCACATCCAGACGAATGAGAACCGGCTCTGTGAGGCCTGTCACAGAAAACACAAGGATCAAACTATCAGAGGAGCTCTCAAAACATGCCTGTGATGTGCTATAATGGGATATAATAACATGTATTAACATCTAGACTGCGAGTACCAGCTCTGGCGAAATCCACAATCATTTTGGGCAGTGTGGCAGAGAACAGCAGTGTCTGCCGAGCATCTGGAAGACGTCTGATGATTTCCTGAAGCTGCTCTGCAAAACCCATTTCAAACAGCCTGGAAAAGCAGAAACGTCTCGTTAGAGCAGCGTAGTGAACACATATAAACTTTACTCCTGAAATGAGGATTAATTAATAAAATGCACACTTAATCTTGGATTTAAGCAGTATGTCTGTTCTCACCTGTTGGCTTCATCAAACACCACGTACTCCACAGCCTGCAGCTTCAGGTTCATCTCCTTGATGACGTGCATCAGACGGCCAGGAGTACCGATGATGCTTGAGAAACCAAGAGAACATCACACTCACATCAGCACAACCATCAAACACAGTCAAACACAAACACACTCTCTCTCACACACACAGGAGAAGGTGACGCCTCAAGGGTGAACTTACATGTCTGGATTCTCATGAAGAGCAGCGAACTGGTCGTCCATGCTGACAAACAGAAATGACACACACAGAAGGAGTCAGAAATAGCGTTCAACTGAATCAAGTCACCTTTACTGCTATAGCACTTTTTAGAACACAGATACAATTCAGACATAAACCTCATCGGATATGAGCGTATTGAGACTTGGCTCACCTGTCTCCACCTAGAATGAGTGCCGTTTTCAGGCCGGTGAACTTCCCCAGCTGAAAGCACACAAACACTCTGAGTGAATGAATGAACTCTCCTGCAGGTGAGCATGAGTAAAGCTGTGACAGCACAGACCTCTTTGGTGAACTTCATGGTCTGCAGGGCGAGCTCTCGGGTGGGCGTGAGGACCAGAGCCCGGGCCCCTGTCTGCGCCTGCGGAGCCTTCAGCTTCTCAAACATGGGGATGAGGAAGGCGGCTGTCTTCCCGTTGCCCGTCCGGGCCATGGCCACCACATCCTTCCCATTCAGAATCACCGGAATAGTCTGAGAACAACAGAGAGACAGATTCACCCTACATACGCTCATCTAGGGCTGCACGATTAATCAAATGTGATTGTAATGCGCATCTTGTCAGTAAAGCCGGTTCTGTGATTAGTAGTAAATCTCCATCACATGCTTTCAGATGGAGCAGCGTTTACTACACAGAGCCGTAGTTCACTAACAAGCTACGCAAAATCACGTTCATAATCGCAGACGATTTAATCACGCGATTATGAAATCGAAGAAATCATTCGCGATAATGACAGCTGTTTGCGTAGCTTGTCAGTGAACTACGGCTCTGTAGTAAATGCTGCTCCACCTGAAAGCACGTGAAGATACCACATTTAATAACATGTTTTTACTCCCAACTTCCCTTCATAATGTCAGTCGAGTGTTTGAAATAAATCCTTCTGTGAGATGATGTGGTTTCTTACACAGAATAAGGCACGCAACATATTTCATAGTATTCTAAGCTGTGATAAAGGCTATGTCGATTAGTATTGCATTATTATATACTTTATTATAATAAAAATTATAATAAGACGAACTCAGATAAACCATATATTGCCGTAGTCATGTGTTTATTAGTTTATCGCCTTTGTGATTTAATTTCGATTAATCGTGCAGCCCTACGCTCATCTCAAACGTTAGTGTGTTTCAAACAGCTGTTTGGGGCTCAGTGGACTCTTTTCACTGTCAGGATGCATTACCACAGTTATTAACGTTGTAGAACAACATTTATATTTTAATTTTTATAAAAATGCAATCAACATTTAGAACACAACACTATAAAAAGACTTTTGGGGTTGTAAATAAACAACGATAATTTGAGTGTGCTTCATATGAAAATGTTGTCTTTATTTACTACTAGTTTTTCTACTTCAAAATTTCACGTTTACTCAATGCATTATTTGCCTTTCCGTTGTAATTGCTTTTGAAATGTTCTAGCAATTTCTGAGTGAAAATTGTTTCTCAATTTTCTCAAATCAATTCATACAAAATGGCCAACTTGTAAAATAGTTATGTTTTTTTTTCATGAATAATCTCGTGTGACAAAAGAAAACAACAAAAAGCTCTTTAAGAGATGCTTTTTTCCAAAAATTAATACAAAATTAGAGGTCTTTCTCTGCAATTGAGCGGTTGCTGCAAACAGCCAAAGTTGTAAATTGTGTAATTATAATTGTCACTCATTTGTAAAGACAGTAAAACTAAACATACTGAAACAACCACCAAGAGTCAAACTATACAAGTTTACCCTACTATGATGACTTCAGATTCTGAGAGATATGGAAATGTGAAAAGAATCCATTCATGTGTTTTGATCACCACAGCACATTACCTTCTTCTGGATGGGTGTAGGAACTTTATAGCCCTTCTTCATGATGCCTTTATACACTGGATAACTGAGACCTGCGTGAAACCAGAGCAAATTGACTGAGTGCCAGAGATCCTGTGATTGACCGACTGATGACAGTGTTTTACATATAACGTCTCACCCATGGACTGAAAGCCTCCAGACTTCTTCTTCTTCTTGTTCTGGGCTCTGGTGAGCTCTCTGGTGTCGAGCTCCACGTCAGAAACACACTCGGACGAGGCAGGGAATCGAGGAAGTCTTCTGCTGGACTGGACAACAACACAGTGATGTGAAAACAAATAAAGTTCAGACTGTAATTCATGACAACACTGCATTTCCACAGTAACTTACATTCTATTGGATAAAAAAAACATATTTAATCCTCGTAATACATTCAAAATCTGTATGCTATTTTCACATTCCCAGTCCATTTGGAGCAGAAAAATCGTTATTTTAAGTATAGTCATAACTCAACATTTTAACATAACACCGTATTGTATCTAATCGGCAACTTTTCATTAATAAGTGAATGTGAAAAAAAATCTACGTTTTCGATGTTACCATGTTATTACTATGTTATTACTGTGTTTACCTTTTTTATAAAAGAATTGAGAAATTATTTGAAATTGCACATTACCCAAAACTATAATACTATACATGTCTCATATTATATAATCTGAGATTATATCAGTATTAACCCCATTGGAATTAATGAAATCTAATTAAAGTCCTTTGAACTTAACTCATGATTGCTCAAAAACAGTAAAAATCTGTGAAACCTACATATTCATTTCTGACAAAACAACAATTATTACTCTGAAAAAAGTTTTCAAACAAAACAAATTGATTTACTTGCATAAACTTTCAGTTGAAAAAGTGATCTTTTTTTTTCATCAAACATACATATTCATGTTTTTCAACAAAATTCAATCCAAATATTGTAAGATATGGGGAAAAGGCTAAACGTATTTTACAAAAGTTTTCTGACACTAATATAACTTCATAGATAACGTATTTTTGACACCTAATGGTACTCCATACATACCAGAGTCCAAAATGACCCAAACATGAAATGTGTAACCGTTTTTTAAAGGGTTATATCTCTTAACAAATAAATCTAACAAATCTTTATAATTATAATTTTACACTTTATAATTATACATTTGTAAAGGAAATTGATTGTAAAAGGTGCATCTGTCTCACAGCTCGTCAAACTAAAACAGAACATTCACACAAACATCCTCTTTTCAGCTGTTTACTATTTTAAAGTCATGGTAACAGGGTTTAAGTTGAAATCATACTTTAAAAACTGTGGGAAAATATGATGGGCACGGTATTTTGGTAACATACTGACATCTGCTGTCATAGTAAAACTGTCATCAGATGTTCATGTTTTCACGTTTGAGGGACACAAACAGTCTCTGATAGAAGGAAAGTGAACCGATAATAAAGAGCAAACGTGTTTAATGATTATTGTGACTCACTGTGTCCTGGTCATCTTTGATTCCTGCAGCAACTTCAAACTCTTCATCGTCAGACTGGAGCTCGTGATCTCTGTGTGTCGAGCTCTTCTTCCTCTTCATCGGTTTCTTCTTCCTCTGCGCCATCGTGTTCACTTCTACAGACCCGAGAGCTCTACGAACTGTGCTGTTGAGCAAATCGTCGCTATTTAATCGAAGAAAGCAGTCGCTCCGTGAGATGAAAACACCGGAGAGGTTTGGAAACACATGTGAAGACGTTCCTGCGCGTGGAGATGACGTCAGAGAGCGAGACGCTGCCGTTCACTGAGCTGCCGCACGGTGGCGCCACGAACAGAGCAATAACAGTAATAACAGAACAATAACAGTAATAACAGAGCAATAACAGTAATAACAGAGCAATAAAAGTAATAACAGAGCAATAACAGTAATAACAGAACAACACAACCTCGTGATAAATACTAGTTGACATTTCAGCGAATTTGTATTTGTGGCTAATAGACCTTATAACGCTGTGGGACGGACTTACAGTCTTTACAATGACACGCACTAAATAAATATCTTACATCACGTAATTTTCACAACTCACAACTTTCAAAGAGTTTTTGTCTGCTGAAAGTTAATATCGGGAAGAAGATGTTTCGTCAGCTGAACAATCGGTATGTTGTTAAACAACAGTACAATCCACTGTACTTCTCAGTTTTGGCACCCTGGGCCAGATTGTCAGTCTCAAAGCAACAGTATCTTCATTTTCACTAATGCAACCTGTTCATTTTTTTTTTTCAATTAATAAATAAAAAGAAAAGAAAGAAAAAAACTTCAACATCCCAGCAAGCAATAGCCGTCATTTCAAAGTCTCGGTTAAGTATAGACCCGATATAGTCCGGCTATGTGTAACCCACTTCTAGCCCAAATAACCTTGAATTTGGTTTAATGTCATTTTTTTGGCAAAATAACTTGTGAGATGTATGATATTTCATCGTGTAAGCAAAGTTAACAGCATTTACAAGGTGTTTGGTGTCATTTCTTTGACATGTTCAATACGTAGCCTGTGCGCAGCCACGATTTAGCTCGTAGTCAGAGCAGCTATCTGTAGCCCACTTTTAGTCAAACCTGATTCACTCTAGTTTTTGGCCAGACAGCACATGAGATGGTTGATATCCCATCATGTTCGCAGTGTCAATAATATCTACAAAGATATACGTGTCATTTCATGACATGGTATGTAGCCACGATTTCGCTCTAAATTGGACGGGCTACGTGTAGTCTGCTTTTAGCAAAAATAGCCTTAAAATTGTTTACATGTAATTTTCGCCCACGCAGCTTCTTATCAAATGCAAGTAAACTTTTGAATCATTTAAATTAGCATTATTTTATATTTTATTTAATTATTTTACAGCATTATTAAATATAGCATTATTTATTATGCCAAAAATAATGCTAATTTAAATGTTTCAATCGATTTTAAAACAGCACAAGAAGAGCAAAGAGCAAACAACAGAACAAACACAGCTTTGACAAAGATTAATCCATATTCATTTATACAGTGAACACACTCAGAAGAATTGGAGAAACTGAGGAGGAGTTTCAACATCTGGAAAAGATCCGGGCAGCAATGGTAAAAAAAACCCTCTCCAAAACAACATTTCCTCACTAAAGCTCTCATCTTTGACAAAGTCCATCATTTATGTTAATTATTATATTGAATTTATTACTGAACAATGGCTTGTTAGATACAGAGAGAGCATGAGCTAATTGAATAGAATATCTTTGTCATTGTACAAGTAACCTTAACGATTTTATTTGCCCTATAGAGTCTTATTATATTAAGTGTAATTATTAATAAAATGTAAGAATTTGATATGAAATATGACACATTAATTTAATAAGGTTAGGGGGAAATGCCCTTTTTATAGGCACAAAAAAAAGACCTGGAAATCAATTCAAATAAGTTTTAATATGCAGTAACTTTAGTCATATAAAGTTTAATTTTCCAGCAACAAAATTGTGGCCAGTGAAAATGCTGAGTGGCTAGTAATTTTGGAAAACCACTAGCCACAGTGGCTGGTGAGCAAAAGAGTTAATGTCAAGCCCTGTATACAGTGAATACTTGTACTTATACTTGTATTGCAGTA